GGTATGTATTTTCCTGGTCATAAAACGGAGATTTTGCCTCTACTCTCAGGCTCCTCAAAAATCAGTCCCGACTGGTGATCTCCTAGTTCAAGGGAGAATTACCTGGGAACTTAAAACAAAACAAAACAAACTGATACTGATGCCTGAGTGCATCCCCCATGCCATCAAATCTCATTTGCCTGGGTATCCTACTTTTTAAAAGCTGCCCAGGTATATAGTCTTTTGATTGTGATGGATGCATACAGATGTCAAAATTATCAAAGTGGGACACCTGGGTGGCTCAGTTGGTTAAGGGTCTGCCTTCGGCTCAGGTCATGATCCCGGGGTCCTGGGATCGAGTCCCGAATTGGGCACTTTGCTCAGCGGGGAGCCTGTTTCTCCCTCTGCCTGCCACGCCCCCTGCTTGTGCTCTCTCTCTCTCTGACAAACAAATAAAATCTTTTTTAGATTTCTAAATATTTTTAATCTTTTTACAGATTTTATTTATTTGTCAAAGAGAGAGAGCACAAGCAGGGGAGGGGCAGAGGGAGAGGGAGAAGGAGAAGCAGGCTTCCCACTGAGCAGGGAGCCTGACGCGGGACTCGATCCCAGGACCCTGGGATCATGACCTGAGTCGAAGGCAGACGCTTAACTGACTGAGCCACCTAGGTGTCCCAAATCAATAAAGTCTTGAAAAACACACAAGAACTTACCAGACTGTGCACTTTAATATGTATAGCTTATTGTATGTCAATTACATCTCAACAAAGCTGTTTAAAAAATTAAAAGCCACTCAGGTGATTCTAGTGGGCATCCTGAAATGAACACCATTGAGCTGGGACAACCTCCTCAGTTGAGCAGATAAGGAGATGGCCCTAGACGGGAAGAAGTCGGCTTGGGCATCATGGCGTGGCCGCCCTGCCAGCGCTTAGAACCTAGGACTCCGCACTACTGCAGCGGTGTTCTCGCCTGAAAACCAAAATGATAGGACATTTACAGATTCAAAACACTGCCTTTTGCAGGTTCCCCACTGAGTGCAGAGCACGACATGGGGCCTGATCTCACGACCCTGAGATCATGACCTGAGCTGAAAGCAAGAGTCAGATGCATCAAAATTTTTGAAGGGCTAGGAGCGTTTCTCGGGGATGCAGGGCACACGAGAGCTAAGACAGAAAACAACCCACCAGTCTTTACCTGGTAGAGTCGCCATTTGGAGGGGAAGTGCGCTGTCTCTTCAGGGTCTTCTCCCTCTGCCCACGGGGTTGTGGGGTTCTGTGGGGCTATAGCAGAACCAGTGAGGAAAGCAACGTGTCAGCAGCTCCCGCTCCCCGTTGGCTGCCTCTCTAACTCCAGACTTCGTAACTCCCATCGCTTTTTCAGTATTTCCATCTCAGATTCAGTGTGTTCAAAATGGAACTCATCACCTTCTCCTCCAATCTATTCCTCCTTTTCAATTCCTTAATAGAATGCCACAATTCTCCCAGATATCCACACCGAAAAGAGTGCCTCATCCTCTACACACAAATGGTGTCCATTTCTCTTCCCGAAGGTCTCTTAAATACATCCTTCCTTCACATCTTTACAGTCACTTTTAGGCCCTCGTCATTTCCTGCCTAGGCCTCCTGACTCATCTCTTATTTTTCTATCACTGCCTTTTGCAGCTAGAGTAATCGTCCAAGACCACAGATCATGCCATGACCCCATTTGAAAACCTTTGAAGGGCTCCCCCATGACAAATAGGATGAAACCCAAACTCCTTAGCATGGCAATTATATCTGGCCCCAGTCCTCCCGTTTCATATCCTCTCCCACCACTCTTCCGGTACGTACTGTCTCCCCTTGTGCCTCTGTCTCATGTACATGCTATCCCACGGGCCTGCAACAGTGGATCTACCCTCACTAACTCGTATTCGTCTTCTAAGACTCAGTTTAAATATCACTCCAGATTAAGTCAAATACTCCCTCTCTCCCATGCCTCACTGGTCCATGAAAACAATTATTCCGCTCTTTCATGGTAGTCTATTTCTACATGCTTTCTCACTTGATGGTGAACAACTTTATTTTTATTTTTCTGTAAAGTTTATTTTATCTTTTGAGAGAGAGAGCGAGAGGGAGAGGGAGAGCACGAGCAGGGGGTTGGGGTAGAGGGGCAGAGGCAAAGGGAGAGAATCACAAGCAGGTTCCCCACTGAGTGCAGAGCACGACATGGGGCCTGATCTCACGACCCTGAGATCATGACCTGAGCTGAAAGCAAGAGTCAGATGCCTAACCAACTGAGCTACCCAGGCGCCCCGATTGTGAACAACTTTAAGACAGTCCATGTTTAAGGTGGCTCGGTGGCTCAGTCAGTTAAGCAGCTGCGCTCGGCTCAGGTCATGCTTCTCCCTCTCTGCCCCTCCCCCTTCTTCATGCTCACTCTTTCTCTCTCAAAATAAATAAAATCTTAAAAAAACAAAAACCAGCCCATATTTTTTTCTCATCTGTACATCCCTAGGACCCAGCAAGACCCTGGTACATACATATAGGTGCATAAAATTATTTCATGAATTTGGACATTCTTTTCCGTTTTTGTTCTTTCTAAATACTGCGTAGGCGACCAGCAGCTAGGTGGGCAGGAAATCTCCACAATTTCAGAAGCCATGGGTCACCTGTGGCCACATAAAACCAGAGTTGGCCTAGGGAGTCACTATTGCTTCCCCGTGGCTCCATAGGCACTTAAATTCACTATTTCTGTAAAACTGTGCTTGGAAGGGTAGATGCATCTGGCGGCTCCCCAAAACTGTGTATCCGTCTCTGCTACTCACATGCCGTTCAGCAAGCAGCCATCTGTCCACACCCTTTACTGCTCTAGGCCATTTGGTCATTAACTGTTATCACTCTGGCCTGTTGAAGGAGGAGAGGAATCACTGAACACTCACATTCCAGCCTTAAAGCATCTTTTCCTTAAAGGTAAAAGTGACCAACAAAGGGGCACAAATGAAAGACCTTTTAAACACTGTTTGGAAAATGTGAACAGGTTAGCTACACTACAATAAACAAAGATATCTGGCCTATTTCCATTACAATATGCCTCTAATTAATCTAACTTTAGATATTAGCATTAATAAATTACTTCAAGGAGCCTTTCTCAAGGGAGATAGGACCTCAAAACCTATTCCCATTACTCAATCTTATCTCTAATTTGTTTATAAAGGAAAAAAGGCAGCAGAAATATAATTTTTTTGAAATACAATATAATTTACTAAATATCATACAATAGACAGACAGGACTTGATTTCCCTAAACTCTTTCTTGTATGTTTTCTTGTCTAAAAAGAAACAGAAATTAAGGACTGTCAACAGGTAACCTAAGGAGAACTCCCTAAATGAGTCTTACTTCCTAAGTCATTCATCATGAAATCCTATATACACAAGCTAATTAACAACACTGTCCAATTCTGAGGGACTATTTCTTTTAAAGAACCATACACTGAAGAGGATAGAACATGCCCTCAATAATATTTTAATTACTACATTAAATAAAATGCAGATGGTTCTGAGGGGGGGAGGATCCAAAAAGGAAATTAGGACAACAGGCAGTAAAGCTCTCCTTAAACAAAAAAGATAAATACAGAAATTCTATACCTACTTTTCTTTTTAGGACATTAAAACCCTTTGTAAAATTTGAACCTGTTAAAAAAAGGCTGATGAGTCAAGCAACTTTTAGCAACATGATCAACCAATTCTCAGTTAAGCTTTTGGATCACGGGAGCAATTTGTTCAGCCATGCTTGCCTCTTGTAACTCTTGGCAAACATTATCAAACCTACCTGGGGTGGAGGTGATAGGAGAACAGGATCCTAGTGAATTACTATTCCCTGTTCACCTTCCATTCTAAACATGGGAAATGTGGATTCCATTATTAAAAGACATGCAGTTTATACATAAATTCCATCACCAAATTGGCTACTAAGCTACCCCAGTTTTCCTTTCCGACCAATAGACATAAAAGTTGTTTTAAATGTAATCAATCACAGGTGGTTAATGTTTTAACTTTTTATTAAGAAACTAAAGCAAAACAACAGAATTTCAAAAAAATTAAAATACAGAATTCTAAACAAATAGGAAATCTACACCAAAAACTAAATCAGTTTATCAATATTTAAGAATAAAGGGGAATGGCTAAAATGCATTCACAGTCATTATTTCTTCCTTATTAGCCTCAGATTTATATCCCTTTCCTTAGTGCTTCCCTTCAACAGGATACAGAATTTCTTTCTCATCTATCTTTTGTTATAGTCTGTAACCTCAGAGCAGCTTTAGTCTGCCTACATAATTCTCTGCTCCTTCAGCAAATATGTGAGCACCTGCCTATTGGGCTCAGGTGATGTGGGCATAAAGATGAATCCATCAGAGATCCTGTCCTAAGATGTTTAGAGGAGATAAGACACCAACAAGTAATAAATATAAATTTATATAAGGTATAAAGTAATATAGCATGAGTTAAGTATAAATATAAAAATAGGGAGATTTCAAGGAAGAAAAGATTACATTCAGCTAGAGAAATTAGGAATGCTTTATGAGGGTACTATTTGGATTGGTTATGGACTGTTCCTTCCAGGAGGGTTTCAGAGGGGTCCTGATGATGATGGTGTTGATTTCCAGAAAGTAATCTTTAAAACTCTTTACTAGTTCTTCAAAACTGTTTATTTTTTTAGAAAGATCAAAAAATATTAGTATTATAGTCTATATAAACAGCAGTTTGGGGACTTAAATCAAAAGTTAATTGTAATACCTATTATATGGTTTAGGGCTGTTATTTTCGCAACTCTCTTTCCCAGGTCAAATCATATCTAAAAGGCAGAAGATGCCTAATCACTGAGCCATGACTTTTAAGTATTCAATTGGGCAAAACCTACTTGCTTCAGGTGCTTTATAAAATCTATAAACTTACATAAGAATGAAGATGAAATAAATGGCTTAATATTCAAGTAGATAATGAAAAAAATAATGGTAACTATGAAATAATATATTAACCACAGAACTCCTTGTATGAAAAGTTTTAATGAATCATGAGCCATTGGCCATTACAGACTTCAAGCCTCAATATTTCTTTCCTATGTAGAACCAGGTAATTAAAACAGCCTATCTCAAGTATGACAGAAGACCATAGTATGAATAATAGTATTGTTTGTTTACACATCTGCATGCTTCCCTAAAGTTAAGAACCAAAGAGAATGCTCCCAGTTTCCCAAGTCAACAAAATAAATTCAATTACACATTTTCCTTTCCTGATCATAGTTTTAGTTGAAATACAACCAATACTACTTTGTCTTTCAATAACACATTTTATCCATCATACAAGTATTTCCTATTATTTTCTCCTTTCTCTTCAATATGCTTGTGAGGTAGTGAAGGGAGGGAGCAAGGATTTTTTTTTTTTTTTAATTTTGCAGATGAGAAAACTTAAGGTGAATTTAAAACTCAACCTTAGCAGCATACTGAAATCAGCTAGGAAGTTCAAAAAAATCCTTATGATCATGTCATATCCCAGACCAACATCAGAATTTTAGGGTATGGGACCCAAGCATCAATATTTTTCAAAATGCACATGACTCCAAAGCACAGCTAAGTTTGAGAACCACTGGTCTAGATGATTTATACTTAACCTTCAGGTGCAACTGTCTTCTACCTGAATGCTCTCTCAGCACCAACGAAAGAGATTCCTTTTCCTTAAACATTTTAACGGTTTAATATTCTCTGTACAACAACTAATGGTCTCCAGTAATAAAATATCAGGTTATAAATGAAGGCTCCTCATTCCCCTGATGCTCATTCTAAATATGAACCTCCATTTTATAAAATTTGCAAACAGCATATTAGAGAATTTAAGTCTTTAAGAATGGCTTGTTGTTAAATATTTAAGCAATTATTTGATTCTAGGTTGAATGTGCAATAACCATGTGTTTCTGTTTTCCATTCAGCACCTTCAAAACTTTGTTACAAATGAATATTATACTAATAAGACAATATTATACTAATAAGACAAAACAGAAGTTATAAACAAAACTCTCAGCAAAAGCTCTTGGAATTGGCTATATCACTCCCTGAAAAAAAAACCAAGCACATAAGGGACTTTATTGTCTTATCATTTATCAACCTTCATCCTGAACCAGTTCTTTTCTTCAAATTCTAAACTTTGCCAAATTGAGTTGTTCTGCACCAGGAAAAATCAATTTCTGTAGCAGCTACATTCTCTAACACATTTAACATATAATTTCACTCTGTACTATTATTAAATATGGTTTCCAGGTTTCTTCTTGACATGGATATTGAAAAGGATCTTTAACAGATTTCAACTGTAAGCAACATACCAAATACACAATAAATATTTGTAAACCTGTCAAGTGGCAAAAATAAATCTTTGTTCATGACTGAAATCCCCTGCTTCATAAGAGTATTGATAATCTTAACTCTCAAGGAGCAAGCCAAGAACTCCAGCCAGCTGCTTACTGTCTGTCCCTAATTTGATTAGATTTAAAACAAAATTACACACAGCAATAAGCTGAAAGGCAAAGAACCACCTGCCTTAGTCAATTCTTATCACAAAGATGCATCTGAAACCATACATTTATACTTTCATACAGAAAGATGATGTTTGTTTCTCTTATAACAAAAGAAAATCTCAGCTCGTGTATGTTAGATTATTAATTCAAGAGTATTAGTGAAATTAGATTTATTAGTCAAAAACTCAAATTAGGAATTAATGTCAAGCTCTTCTATAAGGAAACCTTCAAAATATTGCCAACCTGAAGTTTTCATTTTCAGCACAAGGTATTTTATTTCAAGTCCCATGGGGGCAATTATCTATAATGAGATTAAGAACATTCTTAACCTGGGTTCAGGCTGGCACTGTTTCAGATGGGTGAGTAAACATTTTCTTGATAACCCCAATGAAGAGTTTGAGGCTTAGATTTGTTGCCATGATGTAAACAATATGAAATTTAAAAAAAAATTATAGTATCTACAGCATTATAAAGTTACAAAATAAAAGGACCATTAATTCTTCTCCAAAGGTCTGTGACTAACAGCTTTCATATTTGAGGCCTGTAAGAGCAAATGGCAATGTTCTATATTGTTATGAGACACTTTCTCAAAAGGCCAAAATATAAAACCAGATACTATAAGATGCACATTATTGTTATTACTACTGACCTATGTATGATTAGAAATAAAATTTGCCTTCCCTCAATCTTAAACCAGGACACTGAGGGGTCTTTACAATAATTTTGATCATTAAAAGAAAAAATACCAGACTGTAATAGCTATGGAAACTGTAAACCAAATTAATGTAAAAATGAGCCAATACAACACATCTCCTCTTAAAATCCTCTTCTTTGTAGTTACCTAATTTTCCCTAAATGTTATTCTAATTTTGTACCATGTAGTGGTTTTTAAGAAACTGAACTAGAACAAAGCAACCCCTTTGTCCTGTTTTGTTTTTTTTTTTTTTACAGTTTTTTTACACACTTATTATATATACAACTTTTAAAATAGCTGCACAATTTTACATCTCACTGTTAGAGAAGTGCAGTCCAGGCAGACCATGCTTCTCAATATATTAAAAATATTAAATAAAACCCAACCAGTTTCATACTTTTCTAATAGTCAAGCTGGCTGGAAAAAAGGGTCTGGAGAAAAAACAGGCAGTTGTAAAACAGTATCAGTCTTTCTTCACAAACACACTACTTAAAAATCTTGCTATTTCCTTATCTTATCCCTTTTATAGCATCTCTAAAATCTCACCTTAAAAGTTGGAAATGACACATTGCTAACTTAGAGACAAAATCTGTTGCAACATGCATATGTCAACTGCCCACTCAACCAACTGCAACCCTGAGGATTTTTCTGGCCCAGTACAAAGAGGAAACACTAAGATAAGCTCTGCCATAGAGTTGCTTCTCCAGTTAACAATTTCGTGTGTTTTTCAGGATGTTTCTTGGGCATGCATGTATGACACTGTCACTTCATGATTCTACTTTCCACAAGCAGATATCTCCTCCATTCTGTCTTTCACCCCAAGAAAGCGACTGTCATCCATCCAAAGGTTTTCCAAGGTAAACCAAAGTCACTTCTGTGTTGCCATATACAGCAGAAACTGCTGGATATAAGCAGACCTTTGGAAGTCCTCTAAAGGCAACCCCCAGGAACTCATATCCACGTTCAAAAGCTAAAGTCTTATCTTCCATGTCCAAGATGACGCGAATTCTTTCTCCTATCTGCAAACACACAACAAAAAAAGGTTAGAAGGAAACTCACCAAGGGCATAGCTAGAAGAAATAAGATACAAATCAACAAGTTGAAAATATTAAGAATATAAAGAAATTATTAAGAAATTAAGAAAATATTAAGAATATAAAGTTATCTGGAAAAATGATCAGAGAAGTTTTCTGGTCAGGGAGAAACATCTAGAAGAAACAACAAACATCAACTTCATAACAAGTGCTTGTTTTATAAATTTTTTTTTAAGATGGGATCTACATTTAATAACAAAAATTTAAATGTTCCCCCTGAACAGGTCCCAGATTTTATTTACTCTTTATTTAAAGGCTTTTCTTAAGAAGTTTACTACTAAAATCTGTAACTTGGTACATTTTACCAAAAAAAAAGCTATCTAACCTTTTCAAATTATTATACTATATTACAACAGAATATTAGTCATATAAAGAAATATAATTTTGATATATGCTACAACATGGATGATCCTTGAAAACAGTATGCTAAGTGAAATAAGCCAGACACAAAAATATAAATATTGTATAATTCCACTTATATAACGCACCTGCAATATTCAAATCATAGAGTCAGAAAATGGAATAGAGGTTACCAGAGGCTGGAGAAAAGGAGAGATGGAAAGTTACTGTTTAAAGAGCACAGAGTTTGTGTTGGGGAAGATGAAAAAGTCTTGGGTATAGATAGTGGTGATGGATATACACATTGTATTAATGCCATTGCGTTGTACACTTACAAATAGTTAAAACAATAATGTTATGCATATTTTATCACAATAAAAAGTTACTATAATAAAAAAACACATAACCTTTAAAGTTCACAAGCAGTTCTACATATACTGTGGAACTTATATAATCATGAAGAGCCAAATCTGACTATAGATTCTAAAGAAGCAGAATAAGCTTATTAGTCATTTTATGGGCCACTGCTCTGAAACACCTGTTTGTTATAAAAACAGCAGCACTGATTGTTAAACTAAAGCAGAAGCACAATATATCCAGCTTTTTTCCCACATGGAAAAGTAAGGAAATAAGGATGTTTTATTTTTATACTATGAACCTACAAAAGGTTGTTTCATCTATACAATTGGAGGCAGAAAGTCCTAACATTTGCAATCAAAAATCAGAATTTAATACTTCCCAATTATATTAATTCCTGCTGTTGTTGTTTCTTTCCTTCATTGTATTTCCTGTCACGGACAACTACAAACATCTGCTTCTTTCTTCCCTTTGCCCAACTCACAGATTAATTTGCACCCCATTTTATGGACCTAAAAACATCATAATCACCATCACCACTATTGCCACCAACAAAACAAACAACAAACATGAAAAGTTAATATTTTGCTGGGTATTCATTTTGTGGTTTATTTGTATTATCTCCCATCCAAGTACTAACCAGGCCCGACCCTGCTTAGCTTCCGAGATCAGACGAGATCGGGCGCGTTCAGGGTGGTATGGCCGTAGACTATTTGTATTATCTCACTTAATCTTCCCATCTATCCTAATATTTATCCTTATTTTAAAGAAGATGGAAACTAAGATGACAGAACCACTCCTGGTGAGATTTGCAAGTTTGCTTCACCTTTGATTGAGTGTACAGCATGCATACGGCACAGGGAGCAGAAAGCAGAAGTCTTACTAGCTTTAGGTGTCAGAGGGCAAAACTTGGGAAATGGCAGAACAACTGGAAACTTAGAGGAGGAACTCCATAAGCAACAGAACCACAAAAAGGATGAGCCCCAAAATCCAAGAATAAACTACCCAAATCATTGTGTGATCACTGTCTTACACAGACATAGGGGAAATTCCCACAGAATCAGGCTGGAAAAGTAGCAGCTAGAAGCCAACTCCCTTCCCCCCAAAAACTGACAAAGACCTAGCTGCTGTACACCATGGGGGAGACAGAGTTTACAGTTTGAAGAATCCAGGCAACTTAACTGCCTACTAGAACATCTACACTTTTCAGAAAAACAAAGTGATTTCTAGAAACAAAACATTCCAGTATTACTACTACATATTATCTATAATTTCCAACTTTCAATTTAAAAATGACTGGATATGAAAAGAAAAAGTGCAACTCATACTCTGGGGAAAAAAAGCAGTCAATAGAAACTGATTCTAAGTATGCCTACATGTTGGATTTGGCAGACAAAGACTTCAAAGTAGTTATTACAAATATGTGCAAAGAATTAAAGCAAAATCTAAATTGATAAATGGACAGAGATTCTCAATAGAGAAATGGAAACTACAAAAAAGAACAAATGACAATTTTACAGCTGAAGAGTAAAATAACCAAAATCCACTAGCCTGGCTTAACAGAAGAATTGATAGGTAAGAAGTAAGAATCTGTGAACTTGAAGATGGAGCGATTATCTGATCCAAAAAACAAAGAGAAAAAAATTTTTTTTTTAAAGATTTTATTAATTTGACAGAGAGAGAGAGGGAGAGAGAGCACAAGCAGGGGGAGCAGCAGAGGAAGAGGGAGAAGCAGGCTTCCCGCCGAGCAGGGAGCCCGATGCGGGGCTCGATCCCAGGGTCCCGGGATCATGACCTGAGCTGAAGGCTCATGTGCATGTGCACGGTGCATTGTGGGAGTAAGAAGTCTAGAGAAAGTCGATTTGGATGTGCCATGATATAGGAAAGATGACAATCTAGAGCACAAGCTGGGAAACTATGGTCGTTGGGCCAAATCTTGCCTGCAGACCATAAATAAGGCTTTACTGGAACACAGTTATGCTCACTCATTTACATAACATCTATGGCTGTTTTTGTACTATAACAACAAAATTGAATAGCTGTGACAGAGACCACATGGACCGCAAGGCCTGAAGTATTTACTACCCACCCTGTACAGAAAAAAGTTTGCCAACTCCCCATTTAGGGCAAAGACAGATTGCTCAAAGTCAAATATGTATCAGGAAACAAATATGGAAATACTAAAAGATTATTAGAGTAGCAAAGAAAGGCCAGTTACACTATTTATTTTAAATTACCAAAAAGACATATAAAGCTGCTATATAAAACTTTGTAAATTTAAAACAAGTCAAGGCACGATTTAACAAAGGCCCACAACTGAGAAAATACCCAGTTTCTCACCTGATATTTTGGTGCATTGTTGCATTGTGGAAAACTACCATTGACTTCTCCATTATGTAGTAGATTATTGTCCACCAGATTCCAGCCCCAGCTCTGGTCATCACTACCCAGTAATGCCACATAACCTTGGCATTGCATGGGGGCCCGTTTTGTGGCAATTCCAATCACTGCCACAGTGCCCAGAGGGCCTTCCCACCACACTTCCCATGCATGGCGGCCCTCACTGAAACCAATCTTGGTCCTTGCACCATCAGTACTCTGAGCAATGGGGTTTCGATGTAAAGTAAAGCCATTTTTCTTAATGTAGACATTCCTGGAGCAGTCATTAGTGCTGAAGGCATGTTGGAAAGCACGTACCTGAAAAGATGAAAAACAGACCAAAGAAATAGAAATTTGATTTTTCTTAAACATTAAAAAGTACCCAAACTTTAGGGGCACCTGGGTGGCTCAGTCAGTTAAGCATCCAACTCTTGATCTCAGGGTCGTGAGATTGAGCCCTGGGTTGGGCTCCATGCTGGGGGTGGAGACTGTTTAGATTCTCTCTCTTCCCCTCCCTCTGCCCCTTCCCCACCCCACCCCTACTCATGTGTGCTCTCTCCTAAAAAAAAAAAAAA